TTGAATGAACAATGCCATCTTGTGGTGCGAACAGCAAGAGAGGCGTTCGCGTCACAAATCCTGAACACTGATAAGCTAAGCTCGGAAGCACGGAAACTTCAGGAAATGATGACCGGATTGCCTTTACAGACAGATGTGGACAAGGTTGGTCATCCTATCCATCTATGTTTCTTGCAGCTTCCAGCGAGCATAGTGATCCTGGAGCACCTCGTCTTCTTGCTCAATGAATTGTGATGGAATTTAGTTTGGAAGCCATTTATGAAGTACTGTGTACCTGATCGTGATAGCGAGTTTAAAATTCTTGTGGTGCTGAGTTGATACTACCAGCTCTTGCTATATAGAAAATGTGGATCACTGTTACAAAACACGACTTCGTTGTGGAGAGATTTCCGAAGGGTTGCTCTGCAATACCTACCGCTGAGTATGTCAAATAATGGTGCTATATAAGTTCAGTTAGCCCACTCTTCTCTACCCTTCCCACATTCTGAACCACCCCTCCTCCTAGGGGAATAGAGTGCTCCAACAACAGAGGCTTGCTACTGTACCCATTCCGGGTTGACATGACGGCGCGGCCATTCTCGGCAACTTTGCGCATGGATTGTAATTGTCACCCTAGCCCCACCCATATCCAGTAATCACCTTCACTTGAGCGAGAACCTTCGTGTTCTCTACCATGAATAAGCCAGAGTAGAGACGATTCATTATGGGGAAATTTGTCCAGGAGTTCGTAATAAATCTGTACAACGTGGCTGTTGTTCCCTCCTTCCTCCTTCGACTAAACCCTCCACCGTCTCCAATTCCATATCAAAACCACTTTGCAATCACATAGTATAATGGACAACTCATCGAAAGCCTTTGGTGAATTGCAGGTAAGTAAGGCGGTCCTTTTTTCCGATTCTCGACTCAGAAAAGAGTGCTGGCACTTCTGGTCGCTGCTACGCTAGCGGTGTGGTCCGAAAAAAAGCATATAGGCCTCGTCAAAAACGATGAATCCTAACAACACATCAACTACCGTTGACTTTGTTAGTATGTGCTTTGGGTTATTGGAAACCTTCACCAAATTTGAATTGTTCGCTCTCTAAACTTTTAACGTACGTAATTGTTTCAGGATATTGTTGGCGCTGAACTTGAAAGTGAAATGTTACGCATGAGTGAAGCGATTCGTGCAGCTGTTGAAGAAATCGAAAAGATTCAGGAGAAGGCACGCATTAACACAGAGGGAATCAGGTGAGTTATAAGTAAATCTAGATCACTTTCGAATAGCGAAAGCAGGCTTTCTTGATTTTTTTTTGCTTGACTTATAGCGCTGTTTTTGCTGTTTCGGGTCGCTTCTTATTCTTCTATTCATGAAGAGTGAAAAAAATGGAACGAATGAAAATGCCTCATCATATTTAACGTTCTAGATTGGAAGTGAACGAGGCCATTCTCGGGTGCTGTCAACAGTTGATGTCTGCTATCATGGCACTAGTTATTTCTTCTCGAGAACTTCAAATGGAAATAGTCGCGGCTGGAAAGGGCGGTGCTTCTCCACATGAGTTTTATAAGCGAAATCATCAGTGGACCGAGGTATACCTGAGCGATTTCTTGAGTGAACCTGGTTCTGCGGATGGCTGAGCTCGGAAGAGGAAATCTCAATTAAGGGTCTTCTATCTGCTGCAAAGGCTGTCGGCGTAGCTGCACGTGTGCTTGTGGATTCTGCTGACGGTGTTGTCACAAGACAAGGTTAGAGCCTATAATCCATACGAGATTGCGTTTGTTCTTTTTATTTTAAATTTTATTTGTCTCATTGTTTATTTTTAGGGAAGTTCGAGCAACTCATTGTCGCAGCTCAGGAGATTGCGGCGTCTACTGCACAACTATTTGTGTCTAGTCGTGTCAAGGCTGACAGGGACTCTCAAAAGTACGCTTATAATTTTTGTATTCTATCCAGGGCGTGTTTCCTCTTTTTGCAGTTGAAATTGGCGAAGTACATTTTAGGCTTGCTGCCTTATCGGTTTCATCAAAAAGTGTTAATCAGTGCACTGCACAAGTGGTGGCTGCCGTGAAGAATGCGCAAACCACTCTGAATGTTCAAGGTACCGCTTTCGTTATCTTGCAATTATCGATTGATGGTGTAAGTAGTCGCTTGTCAATGCAGCTATTTATCTCCCCAAATCGAAGGGGTGCTCCACTACGTTGCAGTATAATTTTTGGAAACAAGTAATGACTCGGCTTTCATGTTTGAACCACTTTTACCATATTGCAACTTTGTAAGCGTGTGTTCGTTCCTTTTCTGTGTATTTCTCAAGAGCTCCACAGTTATTTATATTTTGGAGATGGATTATGCGTTCTTTAGAAAATTGGAATTGTAACCTAATTGTTAGTTAGACTGATCTGTGAGTTTTGACTGTCCTGTATTTTTTACTAGTATGGAATCCTCTAGTTCCTCTGGAATATTGTTTTTACGGTTTGCTAGCTAACTGTTGCTTGATTTTTTTCAAACAAAATTCCAAGAATTTTAGACAACCTCGATTTCTCTCATCTCACCCTACACGAAGCGAAAAAGGAGGAAATGGAGTCTCAGGTTCGACCTTCATTCCAAGTTCACCTCCCATGGGAACTTTTTGAATTACCGCGAAAATTTTGTTCTTAACGTAAATTGAAACTTCAGGCCTCATTATTTTTCAGGTACGCATGTTGGAGCTAGAACAGCAACTAGTGATGGAAAGAAAGAAGTTGGCAGAACTAAGGAAACAGCACTACCACATGGCACAGCTCGCTGTGGCCGAGCAGGTGAGCAGCTTTCCTTATTATTTACGATTTGTTGCTGCGGTGAGTCCCATTAGTGTAGATAGTTAAACTTTTTTGATTTTTTCATTGTCGTCTTCAAGTTGTTGTTTTCGTTATAGAATGGAGGAACTGGGGAGCGTGATTCGTCCTTCGAATTTATTGGCTAACAACCATTGTGTTGTCATATTTCTCCGTTTTCCCTCTCTCATCATCCGTGTGATATTCACGTTTGTCTACGTGACCCTTTTCATCAAATGCTATATTTTTATTCCACATTTTGTTTTCCAGTTCTCTTTTAGCGATGTATACCGTAGTTTGCTTCTGCACATATAGCTCTTGATGTCAAAATTCTATCATCTTTTCGAGTTATCTCTTTTTGCCCTGTGTACAGCATCAGCTTTATTAACCTCGGACATCTTTTATCATTCTCACTGCGTTGTTCTCCCGCTGCAGTTGACGTCACTTTTATAGAATTTGTGATTTCGAAACCCTATTAATTACTTAGGCTCATAACACAAGAAATCTCTGATTACTAAATACTTGTTTTGTAGTCGACGTTTTGCTTGATCAGTAATTTTACAGTGCTGCTATTGTATTGAACTACGTCCTTTGTTATCTCAGTATCGCTTAGCAGTTTTAAATCTTATTCTTGTTGTGGTGCAATTTTGTATTTTTGTGATATGCAAAAGAACGGTGTTTTTAATGATGCTGTCATAAATTTGTTTTTTTTTTGCGGAATCATTTTTGTCCATTGTGCTTGCTCTGCACTTGGTATTTCGCAATATTCATCTACAGTTATTTGCGTTTGGCATGCTTGGCATGGCAGTACGGAGAGGTTTTGCACGAATTGCGCACCGTAAGTCGTGTCATTTAGGACCCGAAGCTAGCGCATGGATCGCGAGGGTGATGGGAATGAAAACGTCCCGTTGTTAAGAGATGATCAACGTGGACAGTCCTATCTGGAAGGAGGGAGAGACGAGCTTGAGGCTACACATCGTGGAAGTGTAGAGAATGTAGATGACGCTGGCGAAAGACGCCCAACAGGTTGGAATTCTTGGTTGATTATCTTTTTCTTGCTTTTATGTTTTCCCTTCGAGTTTCTATATTTTTGGTATGTACCTGAGCTTGTAATGGGCGTGAAAGGCTATCTGATCATAGTATCATTAGGTTGGAATATTGCAAAGTTATGTTTCAATTAGTTATGCCCAAAAATGTTACTATGGAATTCGACAAGTCCAGGCGATTGCAGCTGGGCTATATCCCACAGCTGCAGTAGTCATTTGCCACGGCGCGTAACGCAGAGCTCTTTCGAAGTTTGATATGTGACGTTCTCAATGCCCACATTTTTTGCAAGTATTTATACGTCGCACTCCTTGGTTTTAATTTTTGGGTAAATCAGCCAGGCCACTGTCCTGTACTGGTTTGATTGGGTGTTTTTCGTAATGACTACCGTAAATCAGAGTAAATCATCCCTGGCAGTTCTAAGGAACGAGATATTTTCGTCCCATCGAGTAAAGAAAAAGGAAAGGATGGTGGTAAGCTAACTGCGGTAACTGAAAATGTCATGAAAGTGAGCAAAAACGTAAGCGAGGAAGTAAGGCAGTGCAAGTAAGGCCGTTACGTACCATAGGTCTCACTTGGTATCATTACATCTAGAGGCTAATCGGCTTGTCTCGGCAAGTCATTGTGTGTACTCAAACGTTCACAAAGCCAAACCACTGAAGAGTGTTCGAGTGTTTGGCACATAACTGAACGAGATCCATCAACTGCAAGCGTGTTGTTCCTACTTGCTAGGAGAAGTAGGTTTGTTTTTTCAGAACGTTTTCGTGGTTTTCTCGGTCGAAGTTAAAAGCTGTAAATTTTAGAGGTGATCTTTAGAGATTGAATTCTCAAGCTTAAAAAAATCATTTTCGTCTATTCCGGTCGTCATTGCAAGGCCATGAAGTCGCGATCCTTATGCCGTTGAAATTCAAATCCATCTAAGAGAGCCAAAAGTTTAAGCCAACTAAAATTTCCTCACCATTTGTATGGAATCAATTCAGGAAAGGGTCAGAGCAGTTGAAAATTGAAAACATTTGAAAATTGCATTCAAGTGAAAGTTTTTTTGCTTAGCAATATCGAAAGTTTTCAGCCACAGTATCAGTTTTTGAGTTCTTCGATATCTGAGTTTCGGATTTTGAGTTTGTGCTTTTTTGCAAATTATGAAGGAATTTATGCTTACCTGTTAAGAAATCAGTTTTTTCCGTCTTCCGTTGGAAAAGCACTTTTTCTTCGTTGGAACTTGCTCTCATAAGTTATACGATTGTTGTTGTTATTATTGACACACAGGTTGTCACGGTGATAGTTTTAGTCAGTCGACGTTTCGAACAACAGTGCCACGAATCCACACAAAAGTTTTGATGGGTATGGAACAATCGAACCTCAAGTGTAACGTAATAATTGCGGATACGGTTAATAGTCACATAGAAGACTCGGGAGGCAGAGAATTGTTGTCTAAAACTGTCAGTGCCAGTCGTTTCGTTTGGTTTAATTTGAATGTTGAAACAAAAAAAAACTAGATAGCTGCTAGGAGCGTTTTATAGCGTTTGTTCATGCAAATACCTACATCTATTCTCAAGAGATTGAGTGGCCCTGCGGCGGTGGTGGAGTAGCGGGAAGGTCGGTTACTTTGTGGGGATTTTTATTCTATTTGTATTTTTTTTTGTAAAATATAACAAGGTGTTTGTCCTGGTTAGTTACGAAAGCAGTAACTACGAACCAACTTTAGGTCCTGAACAAGACGAATTGTTCGAAAAGTTGATCCAATTATTCTATGTAACAACATGACATGTATGACATAACAGTAACAACAACAGATAATATATGACAGCACTCTCAGGCCAGGAACCATCGCCTTTTTTTGCAGTGGTTCCTCGTTTGCTTTTTTTTCTGTTTTGGGTTTTATTGGAGGAATAGGGGTTTACAAAGATCTCTTGAAGAGCAAAGTTGTACTGGCCCAGAATTCAAGAGTAGTGTCAACCCTGTTACCAACATACCATCAAGTACTATTTAGTGGTGGGATTAAATTTGAGTTGTTGTTTTCCTTCAGTTGTTACTGCGACGCTTTTCGCTTTAAATTGCGTGGTACGAACAGGGTTATTAACCGCCGCGCTTCACTCAAATCGTGTAGATTTCGCAGTAAAATGAACAAAAACATGAATATCATTGTGTAATTCCAGCTATGGTAAGTTCGTAAAAGTGGTGCAGAGCTACTACAGTGGGGCTTTGGTCAAAGAGACGTGTAATTGTAATGAAAACGCAAAATTTATTGACAGTTGTTGCAGTGGGCATCAAAAGCATTTTTGCCTCGGTTGTTTCAGCAAAAACAAGTACTGACAGAGTTTTCTTTTTTAGGTCACTTTCGGGTTTTCTTCTTTACTTGTTATGGAAATACAAAGAAAACGAATCACCGAGCAAAAATTTTACCGCGCTCGAAATTCGTTTTCAAATTAAGCATAGACATTCTTTAGGAAATACAACGATGATTCGAGAGCTGTTTATCACCTTTTGGTTTCACACGTATTCGCTTGCTATAACCTGATTGAAGGGTTATCATGAAATAGGGTCATCGATATTCCTTTAGTGCTTCCTGGAAGACTATATCTACCTCGGTACGCGCTCCACCCACTAACAGCATTTGACCTGCCTTCCTTCGCCAATCTTTATCCACTCTTTTTCCAATCTCGGCACCCCGTCGCCATGATACTTCATGGCAAACCCGCCTCTTAGGATTAGGGTGACCTACACTGATGACGCATTGGTTTTCTTTTTTTCCACAACCTATATCTACTTTCGCACCTCAAGGAACCCAATATGAAGTTTAATAGCAAACTCCGCTTTTTTTGGTGGGCGTCACACCCATCGGCAGAGACGCCATTTTTTGCTAGACTCTGTCCACTTTTTCCCGGTCTTTGGGTCTTGGAGCCAAGTCATAAGTTCGGTAACAAATTCTACCCACTTCGGTGCATTTCACTCCCACCATCAACATTTGAGCTTTTCTCTTTTCTCCTTTTCTCCTACCTCTAATCCGCTTTTTTTCCGGTTTTGGGCAGACTCCAGATCGAGTTATTAATTTTGTTACAAACTCATTCACTTTTGGTGCGCACTTCGCCCACTACTTCCTTCTCGAACTTCTGTCTACTTTTTTCGAGTTTGTGGGACTCCACTGGACCAACTTATGAAAATTTGTAATAGTTACTGCCCACTCAAGGACGCGCTCGAGTACCGTGTGCGGGCTTCCGCCGAGCCCATTTTTGCTGGGAACACCTTAGATATTGCTCTCTCTTGGGTTTTTTGCTCAATAGGCTTTCTTCTAACAGAGTTCTTAGTTTCATTGAGCATCCCCTTTTAAGAACGCCTTACCCTGACCAGCAGGTCTCTAACTCGATTTAACAACTTAGTGCACACCTCATCAATTCTTCTCCATCTTGGGGCTGTTCTGTAACCGAACTCGAAACTTTTGCCGTCGGCGCTGCCCAATTCGGCGCGTTCTCGTCTATTGTGTGCGTAGCTTCACCAAGGTGATACGAGTTTTGTATTTATTGACCCATGCCACCCACCCAAATTGACCTTGACTTGAACTTGGATTCTGCAGGTGGTTCTTCATGTTGTAGCAATTGCGTGACAGACAGACACCGTGACCCTGATACACACAGACAGGATTAGTGCTTTAATGCATAGTAGGGATTCTTAATTATTTCTCTGAGATGGAAGATATTCAACAAAATTATGATATTAGCAAATAGCAGGGCAGAGGGCTGTCATCGTCCAGCGAGCACGATAACTAGCAGCCCCTCTGGGCTGCCATCGGTGTGAATGTTTCAAGAGGTCGTGTGGCAGGCTGGATTGAGCAAGGGTTGTAATTCTTATCACCTCATTAACTTGCAAGAATTAGGTGCAACGGTTACCTGTCGTGTATGTGAGGAGCAAATTGAACTCAATGGTCGTGACAACCAACATGTCGTCAAGTGCAGTGCTTGCCACGAAGCCACACCAATTCGTCCAGCTCCTGCTGGCAAGAAGTATGCGGATATTTTGACTGATTACTGTGGTTGCATTACTTTTTTTCATAAGTTCGTACGTTAGTCCTTGAGCAACGGTAGTGATATCAGACAATTTTCAGATATGTACGCTGCCCATGCAATTGTCTCCTAATTTGCAAAGCAGCATCCACTCGCATTGCATGTCCACGCGGAAATTGTCGCCGTGTTATCACTCTTGGTAATTAGCTATTTCCCACATTCCTTTGTTCATTATTGTTGCTATGATGCTGACTTAATTCAAATATCTGTTAATTTAAGGACATCGGGAGCCACAAGGGAGTGCTATCCGTGCTCCAGCTGGTAGCTGTCGTGTACAATGTGTTCATTGTTCTGAAGTGTTCCTGTTCAACACTTTGAGCAATTGCCTCGCACACTGCCCTCACTGCAAGAAGAAGTATGTCCTACTTTTTTTGGGTGGTCTATCTTATTTTGAGCTCTTCGTCTGTCGGTCTGTCACAGAAATCAGTATTATCTGGAGGTTTCATGGAGAGGCCGGGTCAAGTGTGGGTTGCTGGGACGTAAGAAATGCAAAACACACACTAACGTTTTGTTAGCTAAGCTGAGTCTGCCCACACTGGGCGTGGCGTGCATCGGCATGAGGGATACTGACGGCGATTTCAAATACGGGACAATGGTTGACCAGAGGAGAAGGCTAGAAACCACAAATGGGTGGGGCATGCGTCAAAGTGGGCGGGGTTAAAATCGCCACACGGTCTAGAGATAAGAAGAAGTGGATAGAATCGAGCCTGTTAGAGCAGGTCGAATATTTGTGGTCGATTGGGCTAAATTGAGAATTATGGCCGAATCGCTCCACATCACTGCAGAATTGTGAGCGTGACAGCATCCTGCGCCAACTTTTTGTAGCATTTTTGGATGAGGGGAGGGGTTCGTCTTCTTCCGTTTCATGTTCTTGTTACCAAGTACATGTACCCCTATCTACTGGAGGTATTTATGTGGAGAATTCTT